TATATTTATAATATATTATAAATATATAATCAATTTGAAGCAGCAAATTGATTGCTGCTTCAATCAATTTTTTTAGATTGAAGATAAGTTATTATTATGTGTCTAACCCGTCGAAGCAGCAGCAGTTGAATTATTGATGTCTTGTTTTATTCTTCTCAGGTACCAAAGTCCATGTGGTTCTGGTGTTTTTGGGGGCGCTGGGTGTCCTGCTGCTGTTTGGCTGCATTGGGCTCATCTCTTGGGGTGAGTCCTGTTTGTCCTCTGAACAAAAACTTTCATCACTTAGTTTATGACTTCAGGGATAAAAACCCAGTTGCTCTCTGTCTTCACCATCCAACACAATGTTCACCAACATATGGCAGCTTTGGCCTCCCGAACATTAGGCAGATGCTTAGATAAGATCATCAGGATCAATGTGGAGATGCTGCATGGTGGTGTTTGTGTTATTTGGGTGATGCTGCACTGAGATGTTTGTTTCTGTTTCAAACTTTGCCTCACTTCAGTGATACACTGGATGGCAGGACGTCTCTACTACTGTAAAATGTTTCCTGTCCTTCTGGGATGCAGATTAAAGTTAAACAACATGATGGATGCAGCTTTCATTTAGAAACAAAAGGAGAAATATTGACAAATGAGGCGCCTTCGTATCGCGTTGAACTCCTGGCATCGTTTTATCACTTGATCACACTTCCTGTTTGGTTTTAAAATCACAGTTTTTATACAAACATGATTTGAAACAAAAGTCCAAGTCAGTTCCTGAATCATTTGTGAATTTATAAAGATGAATCATTAATGACTTGATTCAAGTTACATGACTCTAGTCATTATACAAATAATCCAAGTTATGAACAGTAAAGCTCCTTGTACTGATTTTTGTCTGAATAATCTGTTTCCTCTCATTTACAGGCGGTTGGAAAATGAACCAACATGATGAAGCTGTGGCTGATCTGAAGAATGATAATGAAAAATCACAGAACGAAACTGAGAAACTCAGCAGCCAAGTGGAGAAACTCGATGAAAAATTACAGGAAGAAACTAAGAACCTCAGCAGCCAAGTGGAAAACCTCAATGAAAAATCACAGAAAGGAATTGAGAACCTGAACCAGACAATCCAGTTAATGCAGAAATTCAAAAGCTTCCTGTTCAATGAGAACTGCACCAGCAAAGGTGAGCATCAAACTCTGAGATGTTTTGTCTCTTTGAGACGTTGAGACATTAAATATTCTAGATGTTTATGGACAAAGAAAGGTCAAACTGAATATAAAATAATATATAGTTTAAAATTTCTAATTATATCAGCAATCAGACAAGAAGATCTGATAAATTTACAGATAAAGTCCCAGTCTAACAGAAGAGACACAATAAAAAGAGAAACTGGTCTTTTTAGTGTAAATTAATACATTTTGTTATTTTCTGTCTCCAGAGTGTCTGCTGTGTAAAAAGGGTTGGATCTTCTTCAGTGGATCGTTTTACTTTTTCAGTAATGTTTCTTTGACCTGAAATGAAAGTCGTCAGTTCTGTCAGAATAAATCTGCTGATCTGGTTGTTATTGATGATCTGCAGGAACAGGTGAGCTCTGACACAATCATGTTACAAATTTAAAGTTTCAATATGGAATAAAACTTTATCTTCTTGATGATTTTCAATGTTGTAATTAACAGACATTCATTCATGACAACATAAAGACAGACTCCTGGTTGGGGCTACGGAAAGTTGGGAGCAACTGGGTTTGGGTTGATGGTCGTATCGACACACTTAGGTAAGAGATTTCACACAGAAAAAACAATTAATTAAAATTATCTTTTAGTTGTCGCATCTGTTACATATCATTGTCTTTAAATAGTTCAGTCAAAATAGACTATATTTGATTTTACACTTTCTGATGTTTGTGTTTCTCATTTAAAGGTACTGGAGCTCGGACTACGACTACTACGAATACTATGAATACTACTCATACTACCAGTACCCATACTCTACTGATTCATATGCAGTCATGTATCGATCGGGGAATTCCACAGCGAGCTGGAAGTCAGTACCAGATTATAACTGGTACACATACACCCCCCTCTGTGAGCAGGAAGCCTTCAAAGTGTCTCTTAATTAACTCTGTTGCTGTTTCCTCCTTTTTCTGCTGCAGTTCTTCCAGATCAACAGATTAGAGACAAATCAGATTTTTCTGTTTTAACATGAATCTTTAGTCTTTACTTCTGCTGCTGTTTTACTATTTATCCAGTACAGCTGATATTTTCATCTCTATACATTTACTTTAACAAAATAACCCCAAGAACTCAAGATTGTTAATTTCACTCATTATAATCTCATCTACGTTTTTATGTTTTTTTCCCCCATATTGTAAATATGCTTCATTACAGTTGAATTATTTGGTTGATTTTATTTACTGATATTAGAAATTAATAATCATTTAAGTTATTGAAGTTTGTGGTTAAAAATCCTCCACCTCAAAGATCGGCTGTTCTTTACCATAATTCTGTTTGATTTAGTAAATATCAATATATCTGATCAATTTACTAAAACGACTAATCAAAAAGTCATTAAAGGCGAAGAAACTCAACAAATAAAGGATTTAATATAAGATTATCTGAAAATTAAAACATATTATATATGTTTCATTGACACATTAAATGAAAATTATTTAAAACCTTTCAGTTTATCCTACAAGTGAATTTCTTCAATTAAAGTTTTATTTGTATTGTGTTGACTTGATTTGTTGTTATCATAGTTACAGTTAGAAACATTGTTTTCATGTTTGTGGGTTTTGTAACAAGTGTAATATTTGTTTTATTCTTAAACAATATAATCTTTGGCCTGGATTGCAAAACCAAAACCAAACATGATGTTGGCAAAATTATGGATGTACATCTGCTCAGAGCAATAAACTTCAGATTCTAATGAATATTTAACACTCCAACTGGAAAACATTTGAAATATACAAAAAAAACAAAACAACTGAAACAATAAATAAAATGAACAGTGACGTCCAAAAATTGTCCCTGAAATAAAAGCTGGTTGAGACCAAAACAGCAAAATGAAACGTCTGTCATCCTGTTTTTGGTAGAAAGAAAAGAGAAAAAATAAATAAATCCTGCAGATGAAACTTATTGAGCTAATTTTTTATTTACCATACAATTTATTGATTTATTGTGTCAGGCCAATTTGTAATGGAAAGGTATTTTTGATTAATTCTTTATTCTACTTGTGTCCCTTTGCTAATGTTGGACCAGCATTTCATCTGTGGGACAATAAAGGATATATTTCTTCTTTATGTAATATTTATTTTATTTAAGACTTTAATCAAACTTTTCTGTGTTAAACTTTTACCTTTATGTTTGAAATCTGAAAAATCGGATTTAATGGGGTCTTTGATTATTTACTAAAATGTTTGTTTTTGCTTCTTTCCTGTCACTACATGACTGTAATTAGTTGATATTTTATTTTTTGCTGTTGTTGTTTGAGCTCCATGATAATATAGTTTCGCTCCAAATAAAGTGAAATGCTGATGTCGTGTCTCAGCCTCTTCATTCATGGGTTTCAGCTTCACATGTCTGTAGTTGGATCAGTGATGGTTCTCTCCTCCAGTCTGGGTCCAGATCAGAAAACTCAAACACGTTTCCTGACTGAAGTCGGGTTGGTTCCCCTCACAGACTCCAGTTTTCTTCTTTCAAACTGATGTAGCTTCAGGATTAAACTCAAAGTGAATTTATTCATGGTCTTGGATTCACAAAAGCCAGGAAGTACAGGTGAGCAGCAAGGAGAGGAACAAAGACTCAGGCAGGTACGAGAAGACGAGACAACAGACAAGGATCCGACAAGCAGCAGGAGACACAGGTGGGATTAAATACACAGGGAGGTAATCAGGGGACAGCTGGGGACAAACAAGGGGTTGGACACAACAACACAGGAACTAAACTCACAGAAAAACACAATAATCCACATCCTCACAGATCTGTGAACCATTGTCCTGATTAATCACAACTCTGGAGTTAAAGTTGCTTTGCTGTTTTTTTCTTCGGTTCCTCAGTTTCATTTCATTGATTAGATTCCTTTGCCCTCAACATAAGTTTATCATTTTCATGTCTGAACCTCAGTTCATCATAATTAACCTCCCTGACAGGATGAGGTACATAACTAACACATATTAACTCCACTCTCTCCCAGGTTTCACTAACTACAAGATGGATCTGGGACATGATCAGCAGCAGAGATGCAAACGGGACCGAGACCAAATATTTTGAACTTCAACAAATATTTCAGGACACCAAAATGCAAACATAAATAGGAAAGGGGTAAATTACTAAACCAAAACTAAGTCTTTGTGTTAATATATTACCCATTTGTGCATCAATCAAATGCCTCAGGGCTTTGATATTTAATCCAAACTCTGCAGCTGCTGGTGGCAACTAAAGTTTTGAAATCAGGGAACATCTCTCGAATTGAAATGATCAGAAATCAACAAAACGCTGAACGATGGAGGATCCGCTCATTCTGCATCAGAAACTCTCCACAGCCTTCGTCACTCTTCAACATGCTGTCAGTTCCCAGACAGCGACATGCATTTAGTTCAGATTTCAAGTCAAATTGAGTCAGATGGGATTTTTAAAAATTATTATATAAATTATGGGAAAGTTACTTCAGAACTTATCCAGCAAATGAGATTTCTCTTCCTGAAAACTTGTTTGTGAAATTTAGTAAATTTTTTTATTTTGTCGTCTCCATCAACCTTTTCTAATGCGATACAACAACATGTGCATAAAAATGATTGATGGAAACATGGATTATGAGAGAGTTTTATCCCCAAGTGCATCATGAACCTGGCGGGCTGCAAGGCTTTACTTGCCCCCTTCCCATCCCTGCCAGGCTAAGCATTGTTTGTTTTTGTTTTTTAAATAATTTAAAAAAATGTACTTTTTAATATTTTCATTATTATTTTTTTTTATTATTATCCTGACAGTGAGTGTCTCTTCTGCAGTCATCATTTCACTGACAGGGCAGGCTGAGCAGAGTTTGCTCATCTAGCAGCAGAGATGCTCAGTGCAGCAGATTTAGCTCATCATGCAGGGCCGGTCCAAGGTTCAATGAGGCCTTGAGGAGAATTTGATTTAGGGGCCCCTCTTGCTGCTAAGGACATCAGCAGCACTAACAGCATTTCAACATGGATGTAGTTAAATCTGGGACAGATCTGATGCCTGGTTTAGTTGGCTGAGCAGTTAAATGTAATTGTACTTTAATAAGATGAATTTATGAACAAACAGCTAAAACTCATAGATTAAACTCACAGCATCAGATTATTGCTATAGCAAAAATCTATGATAAAAATCTAACTATAAGGATTGTTTCCTGAACTTTCCAGCTCCTTAAAATATTAAATTTAAATGTTGATTTAAAATATTTTAATTTATCCATGACTGAACCATCAAATCAAATGTAACTTCATTGATAGTTCATTTTTGCCTTGGACTGGTTCTAAATGTGATCAGCATTTTATCATGTTTTTAGATCCACTAACAAACTGATGAATTAATTTGGATTGTGCAAATAATTGATATTTATTTTAGTTGTATTCTTTTTATTTGTTGTTTTTAAGACTTTATAGTTGTTGGTTTAAGTGTCATCAGTGTCTTCCACTTACATAATTACCCAGTAATATTTCATGTTTCCTGTCAAC